GTAAATAAGTATCTTGATAGAGCTCTAGTGCTCTAAAGCTCCAAAGCTCACTCGCTTTTTTTTTTTTTTTTTTTGCGATACGCGGGCCTCTCACTGCTGTGGCCTCTCCCGTTGCGGAGCACAGGCTCCGGACGCGCAGGCTCAGCGGCCATGGCTCACGGGGCCCAACCGCTCCGCGGCATGTGGGATCTTCCCGGACCAGGGGCACGAACCCATGTCCCCTGCATCGGCAGGCGGACTCTCAACCACTGCGCCACCAGGGAAGCCCAGCTCACTTGCTTTTTGTGAGTGAGGTTGAGCATTGTATTCGCTTCTACTGCTCTATGACAAATTACCACCAATTTAGTGGTTTTCACGCCACAAACATCCATGACCTCACTTCCCATGGATGAGGAATCTGGGCACAGGTGGGCTGAGTCCTCTGCCCAGGGTCTCACCAGCCTGAACTGAGGTGGATTCTGGGCTGTGTTCTCATCTGGAAGCTCACCTGGGAAGGGCTGACCTCCAGACTCACTTAGGCTGCGGAATTCAGTTCCTTGCGCTTGTAGGCCTGAGGTCACCATTCTCTTGCTGCCTTTTAGCTGGGAGACCCTCTTAGGTCACAGAACCCATGCCATTCTGTGCCACGTGGCCCACCACACGGTAGCCTACTGACTTAAAGTCGGCAGGAGAATGGCTCACCTCGTTCTGCACGGATAGAGTCCTAGGGGACATATTGCCACCAAGGGAGGGACCATCCATCATCTTTGCTTTGTAATGTAACTTATGTAAGGGAATGGCTATCCTATCAAATTCACAGTTCTCATGCACACTCCAGGGGATGGGATTACTAAGGCTGTGTATATCACAGGGCAGGAGTCTAGGGTCATTTTAGAATTCTGGCTATCACAAGCTTTTTTTTTTCTTTATTTATATTTATTTTTGGCTGTGTTGAGTCTTTGTTGCTTAGTGTAGGCTTTCTCTAGTTGCGGTGAGCGGGGGCTACTCTTCGTTGTGGTGTGAGGGCTTCTCACTGCGGTGGCTTCTCTTGCTGCAGAGCACAGGCTCTAGGTGCGTGGGCTTCAATAGTTGTGGCACGCAGGCTCAGTAGTTGTGGCTCACGGGCTCTAGAGTGCAGGCTCAGTAGTCGTGGCGCATGGGCTTAGTTGCTCCGCGGCATGTGGGATCTTCCCGGAAGAGGGCTCGAACCTGTGTCCCCTGCATTGGCGGGCGGATTCTTAACCACTGCGCCACCAGGGAAGTCCCTTTTTATCCTTTTTAAAAGGCCATTTGTAGGGACTTCCCTGGTGGCGCAGTGGTTAAGAATCTGCCTGCCAATGTAGGGGACACGGGTTCGAGCCCTGATCCAGGAAGATCCCACATGCCGCAGAGCACCTGAACCTACTGAGGAGAAAGGTGGCTGGAGCATATATTGCCACTGCTATGGCCTGAATGTTTTTCCCCTCCCCCACCCCCCAAATTCATATGTTGGCATTTAATGACCACTGGGATGGTATTCCGAGGAGGGGCCTTTGGGAGGTGATGAGGTCATGAGAGTGAAGCTCTCGGCAATGGGATTAGTGCTCTCATTAAAAGAGACCTGAGAGTCCTCTTGTTCCCTTTGGCCGTGTGAGGACACAGTGAGAAGTCAGAAGCCTGTGACCCGGAAGAGGGCTCTCTTCAGAGTCAGACCGTGCTGGCACTCCGACACCAGCTTCCATGACAGCACAGCTGCCAGAGCTGCGAGGAACAGGTGTGTGTCGCCTATAAGCCAGCCCGTCTATGGTATTTGTTACAGCAACCCAAACAGACTAAGACAGCCGCTCTATACTAGATACTGAGAAAGACACTTTATATGAGTTCCTAACATTTAGGGTTAGTTCTAGAAGGTTTGCAACGGGACCAGTGATGATGCTGACGATACTACTACTATGACGACTATGGCTAAAGATTAGGATACTATCCAAAGACAGCAACACCATGATGATAATAAAAAGAGTAGCTAATATTTACTGAGGACCTTCTATGTGCCAGGTACTACGCTAAGCACTTTTTATATATTATCTCATTAAATCTCCTCAACAATCTGAGGTAAGGACTATTATTTGTCAGGACTGTTGCCTTTTCCAGTTTTTTCATTTACACCACGGAGCCAAATGTAATTTAAGTTGACAGCAGAGAGGAATATGAGGCTAGGAAGTCAGAATGGTTTAGAAAGCAGTGGAGATTAAATGTGGAAACATTTGGACAAGCGGCTTGTATTATAAACTGCTATACAAATGAAATGTATGTATTGTTTCCCCTGATTTTGTTCCACACTGAAGGTAGTCAAGAGACCCGTGGGCAGGAACAAGTCTGCCCTATGCCCCTGGGAGATGCTGGCAGCAAATGCCTCAGCCATCTGGCTTGGTCATGCCAGGCTGACACCTACCCCAGGAACCTGTGCAGATAAGAGGGTGGGAGGGAAAGCGGAACCTCCAAATACAGAACCCCCAAGTCCCCAAGGGAGACCAAAATATTATCCTTCTGGTTTTTTCCTAGAAGCAATAACCCCCCCCCCCCCCCCCCCCGCCCAACCCAGAGAAAGGAGAGTGACCTCAACCTGAACAAAACTTCCCAGGCCAGTCTCATGCGTTGTGCAAGTTTAGCTTCTGACACTCCAACCTCACTATCTTCCATGGGTCCTGCTTGATGCTGCCTGTTCTGGAAATGGAAATGCCTGTGTCCCACGGGCTGCACAGAGGCGGATGAAATCATGGATAAGAAAGCACGCTGCTCACGAGATGTGGATTTGTACGACCACTACTGCAGTCAAGGGCCGGCTTGGGAATCTGCGCCGATATTTCACTTCGGCAGATAATGAGATTTTACAGCGAAATCATACAACCGGGGAAGGGTCCCCTCTGACTATGCTGCTTTTCTTTTCAAAATACCCCTGGAGTTCCCCAGTGCTTACCGAGTCAAGCTACAGATCCACGAGCCCGTTGAAACCAAACTCTAACAATACTTGTCAGTCACTGCCATCTCCTAGAAATGCCTGTGCGACCAGGAAATTCACATCCTGGGGGTGGACCTTTGACCAAGGGGAGATCAGAATCCCCTTTCCACTTCCGCAAGATAACGCTACTGACCTCAGATGCATTTTGCCCCACAGGTGCGGCAAGGAGCTGTACACAGCAGTGGTCAACTCAACAACACCGTCGCACGGGCTCCCCTCCCTTCCCTGTTTCCTCCTCCTGCCCCTCCCTTCTGCTCCCTGATACAGCAATAATACAATAATAGTGCACAAGGACTTCCCTGCCTCAGGCTTTGCTATACTGGAGAACCCACTTAAGGCATCCTCATTTCCACGTATCAAAACCCTCACCACTTATTCAGCCATCTTATTTTTATTTATTTATTTATTTTTTTGCGGTACGCGGGCCTCTCACCGCTGTGGCCTCTCCCGTTGCAGAACATCAGGCTCCGGACGCGCAGGCTCAGCGGTCATGGCTCATGGGCCCAGCCGCTCCGCGGCATATGGGATCCTCCCGGACCGGGGCACGAACCCGCGTCCCCTGCATCGGCAGCCGGACTCTCAACCACTGCGCCACCAGGGAAGCTCCCCAGCTGCTCTTTTAATAACGAAGGGGTTCCCCGGGGCTCAGCCCCTTCTTTAATGGCTCACACCCTCCCTCTGGTGGTCGTTTCCTGCAACCGCAGATTATTTCCTCGTGATGCACGGAAGTGCTGAGTGTAAGCCCTAATGTACTGAATTAACTTCGCCGTGTAAACTCCAAGACCTGCTGTTCTCAAAGTAAAATGATAAATACATCCCCCCAATATACCAGAAGTTCCGCTTTCCTGAGGAACTGAACAATTAAAGTGGCTTTGCTTGGTTACAAGCGAGGGTGTGGAGAGGGGGAGGGTGCAGTACAGTCTAGTTTGATTTTGGACAAGGAGAATTTAAGAGGAGAGGGATTTGGAGGAGTATGTGAAAGCGCATGTAAAGCATTGTGTACCTGTGAGCTTATCTGCGTTGAAGTTGGCCTGACAGTCAGGGTAGTTGGCTTGTTAACTTTTTTCTAATCATCCTTGCGCCTACGTCTCTCTCAGTTTCCTTCCCTGCTAAGAGACAACGAACGTCCATCACTATTTACGCGTTGTTCTTTCACATGCTGAAACTTCTAATTAAATTGTTCCTGTTTCTTACTAGGTATACTGGGCATAGAATCGATTTCCAATGCCTTTATTTCATTCATTCACCACACGTGCCGTAACTCTTCCAGGTATGTTAACATTTTTTATGAAGCAAAGGCTATATACTCAACCATTTATTACACGAAGCTATTTTAAATTTCTCTTTCTTTTCCAAACAAATCATCACAATATAATACTCATCGCATTTTAAAACTTAAACTCTACTTTTCTGAATACAATTTGGGGTGTTAATATTATATGTCTATCTTAAGGACAGTTTATTCCACAAGAAACTGATCTGTCCCAGATGTCTGGTTTCTGGTCTACCTTGCTGCTTGCCGATAATCTTGCTGCCAGTCTAAGTAGATCTTTTATTGGTTCTGAATCTGTTGTGAGGAAGACACTGGGCTGATAACAGAACTTCTTTCCCTTGAATTGTGGTGGCTGGTCTCCCTTTCTGAAAATAAGTGATATTGTATATACATGTTGGGACAATGCACAAAGACAATCTTTTATATTTGAAATGTGATGTGAAAAGTCATTTGTAAAAAAAAAAAAAAATCAGGTCTGAGTAAACAGTAAAAAAATTGAAAAGGAAATGCATAATGTGTCAACAGGAAACAGGTTTGTAGAAATAGGATTGAATGTCAGGGAAAGGGTATGGAAAAGGAAGACTTCCGATACCTACATTGTATAATATTTAAACAGTGTACAAATACTTTGGTTCATTTTTACTTTTGGCTTTTTAAAAATTGGAATACAGTTGATTTACAATGTTGTGTTAGTTTCAGGTGTACCGCAAAGTGGTTCAGTTAGACACATACATGTATATACTCTTTGTTTTTGGACATTCTTTTACTTTGGTGTTTTTTACTTTTTATTTATTTTCAAAATGATGTTTAAGAAAAGGAATGAATGAAAACAATATTCCAAGATCCAGGTAACTTCCATGTTAACACTGGGGGGGGGGAGTTTTGTGGGGACCATCAGATCTAGAAGGAGTCAGGGGTGCAGTCCCACTTGTTGGTGGGTCGGCGATGGCATTCCCTCTACTGACCCTCCCGCGGGGGTTGCGGGTGATTGCAGGGGCTTAGGGCAGCTGAACTGCGCAGCACCTCCCCACGCAGCCGAGGTTGGAAGCCACCTTCCGCACGACACACTCCCCGTCAGTCTCCCCTCCTCTCCCAGCTCTTCTCCCTAACTTTGGTCGAGCAGACTCCTTCTCATCCTTCAGGTCTCAGCCTAAACCTTGCTCTCTCGTGGAAGATGTGCCAATGTCTACCTCCCAACCTAAATCAGATCCGCCGACTGCTCATCGTCGTGGTGTTTTTTCACGGTGCCGCCGGCAGCTTGAATAGGTATGTTTATTCGTCTCTCCCATATTGTAAGCTCCACAGTGGAAAAGCCCCTATCCGTCTGATTTAGCACCGGATTCCTCACCCAGCACTACGTCTGTCCCAAAGCCACGCTCAATAATATGTTGAATAAATGAAGAGTAGCCGTATCTCTGAGATTGTTGAATGGTTCACGAGTGTAGTTACCATTCCCTGCCTTTAAATGCCGCTTTTGAAATTCTCATCTGAATCCATTTTGCAATTACATCATTATCCTTTCTGCAAGAGAAACGTCCTGCTTATCCTCAGCGCTGATAGATGCTTCATGGTCAGTGTATATCAGAGGCTTCCCTAAGAATATAAAATACGACACGGAAGACATTGTGCTGAGAGTGTTATCAACACAGTAATTCCTACAATAGGTGTTTGCTGACAGGCTCATATTTTCAAACCATCCCTTTCATCTCATTGTTTCCCTGCTCAAGAACATACAATGGCTTGCCCTTGGGCAATCGTATTAAATCATAAGATGCAAAGTGGGAGGCCAGGTAAATGTCCCAGCTGCCTCACTTCTCTCTGATAAATGAAGGGGTTCTGGATCCAGGGAGGTCCAGGGGTTCATCTGGATAGTGGAGGGGCCGCTCTTAGCCTGTCTCGTCTGTTTACCTTCTCAGGCTGTCCCTATTCCAATGCTTCTCATCTGCCTGATTTTACCTGCCCTCACACCTCCTACGCGCTGGGCAGCCTGGTTCCTTGACTGAAATACTTACTTCCTCACCCGTGTGACTGAGCCTGTGTTAGGTCTTTGTTATTTCTGCGGCGACCTCCTGTTTGGGCTCCCTCACCAGTCTTTTCTTGTTCCCATATAAACTTTTCTAGAAGCAGAGCTCTGGCACGTCCCTTCCCTGCTGGAAAATGTGGACATTGCTTAACGCCCAGACTCCTTAGCCTCACGATCTGATCTCACAACTTTTCTCTTTTAGTTTTCTCGTATTCCCTTTCCAAAACTCTTTGCTCTTAGCCTAGCCAAGCAAAAATGATTCTGTGTTTGTCATGCATATCCTGTGACAGATTATTCTAAAATATGATCCCCTTTCTTATGAATTCACTATGTCAGGAATTCTTAGCCCCACCCTCTCTAGCCTTTTATGTGTCCTTTGCGTGTCCAAATCCTACCACTTTTTAAAGTCAAGATATTTAGTTGCAGGAGTTCACATGTTTTGGAGATTAACTCCTTATCAGATATATGGTTTGCACATATGTTCTCTCATTCTGTATGTTGCCTTTTTATTTTGTTGATGATTTTTTTTTTTTTTTTGCTGTGCAGAAGCTTTTTCATTTGACATCATCCTACTTGTTGATTTTTGCTTTTGTTGCTTGTGCTTTTGGTGTCATATCCAAGAAATCATTGCCCAGACCAATGTCAAGAAGATTCTCCCTATGTTTTTTTCTAGTAGTTTTACATTGTCAGGTCCTACATTTGGATCTTTAATCCATTTTGAGTTGATATTTGTGTCTGGTGTAAGATAAGTGTCTACTTTCATTCCTCTGCATGTAGATATCCACTTTCCAAGCACCATCTGTGGAAGAGACTATTGTTTTTCCATTGTGCATCCTTGGCACCCTTATTAATTATCAATTGACCATATACGTACAGGTTCATTTCTGGGCTCTCTATCTTGTTCCATTGGCCTATATGTCTGTTTTTATGCCATACCACACTGTTTTGATTATTGTAGCTTTGTAATGTATTTTGAAACAAAGGATGCCTCCAGCTTTGTCCTTTTTGCTTAAAATTGCTTTGGCTATTCAGACTCTTTCATGGTGTGATTTTTAGGATTGCTTTTTCTATTTCTGTAAAGAATGTCATTGGAATTTGAATACAGATGGCACTGAATTTGTAGATTGCTTTGGATGATATGGAAATTTTAACACTATCTAGTCTTTCGATCCATGAACACATGATATCTTTCCATTTATTTAGGTCTTCTTTAATTTCTTTCATCCATGTTTTATAGTTTTCAGTGTACAAATCTTTCACCTCCATGGTTAAGTTTGTTCCTAAGTATTTTATTCTTTTTTGATGTTATTGTAAATGGAATTGTTTTCTTAATTTCTTTTTTGGATAATTTGTTGTTAGTGAAAAGAAATGCAGCTGATTTTTTTCTGTTGATCTTGTATCCCAAAACTTAGCTGAATTCACTTATTAGTTTTAATAGGTTTTTTTGTGTGTGTGACATTTTTAGAGTTATCTACATATAAGATCATGTCCTCTGTAGAGATAATTTTACTTCTTCCTTTCTTATTTAGATGCCTTTTATTCCCATTTCTTGCTTAATTGCACTGGCCAGTACTATATTGAATAGAAGTGGTGAGAATAGGCATTCTTGTCTTGTTCTGACATTAGAGGAAAAGTACTATAGACTGAATGTTTGTGTCCCCAAATTCATATGTTCATTACTTTGAATTCTTTTTCAAGTAGGCTGCCTATTTCCTCTTCATTTATTTGGTCTTGTGGGTTTTTACCTTGTTCCTTCATCTGAAACATATTTCTCTGTTGTCTCATTTTGTCTGACTTACTGAGTTTGTGATCTCCTGTCCACAGGCTGCAGAGTCGTAGTTCCTCTTGTTTCTGTTGACTGCTCCCTGGTGGGTGAGGTTGGTCCTGGGCCTCGTGTAGGCTTTGTGGTGGAAGGGACTGGTGCCTGCAGTCTGATGGATGGAGCTGAGTCTTTTCCCTCTGATGGGCAGGGCTGCATCAGGTGGTGTGTTTTGGGGTGTCTGTGAGCTTAGTATGACTTTAGGCAGCCTGTCTGCTGATAGGTGGGGCTGTGATCCTGTCTTGCTGGTTGTTTGGTGTGAAGTGTCCAGCACTGGAGCCTGCAGGCAGTTGGGTGGAGCCGGGTCTTAGTGTTGAGATGGGGACCTCTGGGAGAGTGCATGACAGTTAATATTCCCTGGGCCTGGGAGTTCTCTGGTGGTCCAGCGTCCTGGACTCAGAGCTCCCACCCCGAGTGCCCAGGCCTGACCCCTGGCCCAGGAACCAAGAGTCTGCAAGCTGTGTAGCATGGCCAAAGAAAGAAAAAGAAAAAAAAAAAAGAAAAGAAAGAAATAGACAAACAAAACTCAAGACAATTAGCAAAAACTAAAACAAACAAACAGCAACAATAACAAGGCACAAAAAAAGAAAACAGACAACACCCAAGACAAATGATAAAAACAAAGCCAAATTAACAGAAATAAAGAAACAGACAAAAAACTAAACAAGACAAAAAAACCCAAAGAAAACAAAAAACAAGAGAACAACTAAACAAAGAACCCCAAAATGAAAACAATCAATAAAGACTAAACTAACAAAAATAAAAAACAAAGCAAAAACAGAAGGCAAGCTATGAAAAAGCAAAGGAAACATAAACCACAGAAAAACAATCAAAAAACAAAAACAACAAAAACCCACACACAAAAAAACAAAGAACAAGAACAGGAAAAAGCCACAAAACGACAAAAAAGTAAAAATAGGAAATATATTACAGAATTTAAAAAGGAATAAATAAATAACAAATTGAAAATAATGAAAGCAACAACAGCTGAACGAAATGAAAGAAACAAAATAAAGAATAACAGTAGTAAGAATCTTTTCCTGGGGCCTCCGCTGCCAGTGTCCTTGTCCTCACAGTGAGCCACGGCCAGCCCCCGCCTCCCCAGGAGGCCCTCCAACGTCTCTAGGTTGGTGCCTGGACCTGCTGTGGGCACGGTGGGGGCTGCTCAGACTGTGACGTGGCCCAACCCCCACGTGTACTTGCCCCCAGAGTCCACTGCTGCTGAGGCTAGACGAGACTTGGTTGTGAGAGCACTCACCGTCCAGTCAGATATTCCACGGATGCAGGGTTTACCAAGCCAGTCTCGGGGATTTAATCCACGGCGTGTGCAGCTGCAAGGAGAGATTTCCGTCCCTCTTCCTTAGTCGCACTACCCCAGGGGCTCTGCTTCGGTGTTGACCCCACCTCTGCATGTGCGCCACTCTCAGGTGTTTGTTCCACGCCCAGGCGAGAAGCAGCATAAGCAGCGGCTGACTGGGGCACACTTACACGCTCAGGTTGGGCAGGGGTACGGCGGCCACGAGGGGTGTGTGTGTGAGCTGCTGCAGTGGTGGGGACTATCAGGCAGTTGTGACAGACTGGGGCGCACTTGCTCCGGTGCCCACGGAGGCAGGGGCTGGCATGTGGGGAGGTGGCAGCCCTGCCCCTTGTGCAGCACTCAACGACGGCGCCTCATTTCCTAGGCAGACCACACTTCCCCTAGGGGCACTCCTGGCCCCAGAGCCCCTCCCTCCCGTCCCCTCTGTTGTAACCACGCAGCCAACGGCGGTCCTCTCCCCAGATCCTCTCTCCTAACCCCACGCTTTAGCACTCAAGCCCCCGCCAGCATCGGTGGCTTCCTGCCTCAGGCCGGGGCCCCCAGGGCTGATTCCCAAGGAGACTTTGGCATGGGTGGCGCTCAGGACCTCGGAGTCTGTGCAGGCGGAGGCGGCCTTGGCTTGACAGGTGGGTGAGGCTGACTCAGATGGGAGTCCCTCCCAGTGCCCACGGAGGCTGAAGAGGCCAGTGGGTGGGGAAGGGGGCTGTGATGGCGGCCCACCCCTTGCAAGCCGCTCAACAATGATGCCTTGCCTCTGTGGTGTCCCAGGCTGCTTCCGCAAACTTTCCTGACTGTGGAGCTCCTTACTCCTGTCCCTTCAGGCTGCCTCTTCACAGCCAGCAGCTGTCCCCTCCCTGGGTCCACACTCCAAACCCCGCTTTCCAGCACCCAGTCCCCCTCCGCACCAGGAGACTCATGACACAGGCTGGGGTGTGCAGGGCTGCGGCACAGACCATGTGCACAGTCCTTACTCTGTCCTGTCTTCCACAGACCACCTCCTGCACTCCCCTCCAATCTCCTGAAGGTCCCTTTCTGTCCCAGCTGATTCCCCTGCTGTGAGGGGTTTCTCTGAGCGCGGGGACCTCCCCTCACCTTCAGCTCCCCACCAGGGCTGCTGGTCCCTTCCCGATTCCTCTTTTCTTGTTTCTTTCTTTCATCCTACCCAGTGGCGAGGGGATTTTTCTTGTCCTTTTAGGTGTCTGAAGTCTTCCACTAATGTTCAGCAGGTGCTGTGTGAGAACTGTTCCATTTGTAGATGTGCTCCTGATGTACTTGTGAGGAGAGACGAATTCCACGTCCTCCTATTCCACCATCTTGACTTCTCCCCCTCAGTACGCTGCAGATATATAACAAATGTTTGTTGAGTGAGCGAATGAGCTAAACATTGGACCTGATTACTTTTTCACTGAAATACGTTGTCTGATCTAATTAGATACACTGACTCTTTGACTTTGGTTATTCTGTTAACCCAACTGGGGACGCAGCAAGAGGAGGCAGTGTTTTCTGTTTATCTGAATGATGTTTGTTTGGTGGATTCTTGGTTTACTTACAAACATTTCTGAGGACGCCTGCTGTCGTTTCCCAGCAGTGAAAATCAATCAACCAGAAGAGCAATCCATGCTCAGTTTTGGAACAATAAGACAAACACTCTTAGTTTGTCATTGTTCTTAAGAAACAGATTTCAATTGAGAAGCAAGTCACTTGGGTACATAAGATTGCTTTAGCTTCTAGTAAAATAATGGAACAAGTGCTTTGTAGGAAAAACAACCTGCTCACTTAAGTGTTGTAAGGGACATGAAATATGAACAAATCAACAGTCTATAATTACGAGAAACTCGTGATTGCTTTTCCAAAAATAATTCAATTACTGAAGTCGTAGTCGAAAGAAATGGAACAGATGGTTGATCTAGTACCTCATAAAATATTTTACTTAGCCACATATGAATGAATTAAAATTGATTTTCATGGATGTCAATTCAGGAACCACTGTGCTGTGTAGCTGAACCCCAAATTACCCAGGAGATTCATTTTTCAACAGCGCTCTGTCACTTGGAATGGGGAAAGTTATGGAAAATTGGAGAGAGGAATTAGCAGCCAAGGTTTGAAAACCATATACTGCTGATAGGAATATTTAAAATCTAGGAGCTTAAATAGTGTTTTAAAAATATATGCTTAATATTTACTCAATAGAGCTTATTACTAAGTAGACAGGTTTAATCCTCCTTACTAAAGGTAAAGTCTAATCCCGCCACCCTCCTACTCTGAATATGAATGGACTTAGTGACTTTCTTCTCAACCAGAAAATGTAGCAGGAATTATGGTGAATGGCTTCCAAGGCCAAGTCATCAAAGATAGTGCTTCTGCTTGAGTCACTCACCCAAGGGGAAGCCAGCCACGGTTGCATTAGGACACTCAAGAGACCCGACGGAGAAGTCCTTTTGTGAGGAACTGAAGCCTCCTGCCAACAGTTTGCACAAACTCACCAGCTCTATAAGTGAACCTCAGTCAAATCTAATTTCAGACAAACTCTTAGAGAACTTTAGGTGACTGCAGCTCCAGGTGAAACTTGACTAAAACCTCATGAGAAACCCTGAGCCAGAACAACCCAGGTAAGTTACTCTTGAATTCCCGACCCACAGAAACTGCAAGACGATGAATGTTTACTGTTTTAAATGACTGAATTTTGAAGTAATTTGTTATGCAGCAGTAAGAAGTCACAAAAGTCTAGTTTTCCACTAATTTCCATTTATACTTAGAAATGGCCCGAGAGCTTACCTTACATTATATTACGTTTAAGTAGATTTTTCACTACTTCTTTTTAGGTTTGGAGGCCAGTTTCCTCAGATGAGGGCAGAGATTCTCCCTGTATCTCTCTGACAGAGACTGTGTGTTGGCAGGTGAGGTGATGGTGGTGGGAGAGAGAGAGAGAATATGTTAGAGACAAAGAGGGGTTAAATGGAAGAGAAATAATGCTCTTGAGTGGAATGTGGTGAAAGATGAAATGTGTACACAAGGGACAGAGTAGATTTGTTAGCAGTACGTTCAGGACATAAAATCCAGGGCTGCTCCCCTGAGTGGCTACGTCACTGATTAATTTCATATTGCGCTCAGTAGTTTATGCATCAGTTGGAACGGGCTGACACCTTGATGACATGTAACTGACTCTGACCTTCGTGAAAGATAGTGATTAAGAGACCAGGCTTGGGACCCAGACTGCCTGGGTTTGCTTCCCTGCTCTGCCACCTACCAGGTATGTGATTGTTACCCAGTCCAAGCTTGTACTGCTTGCTACACAGCAGGCCAATAAAACCAGAAATGAGGTGCTGGGACAAGGAAGAGCAACCTTATCCAGCAGGCCAGTAGACCCAGTAGATGGTGGACCACCATCCCAAAGAATCATCTTGGCTGAGTTAGAATTCAGGCTGCTGCTTTTTTTTTTTTTTTTCGGAGCACAGGCTCAGCGGCCATGGCTCACGGGCCCAGCAGTTCCGCGGCATGTGGGATCCTCTTGGACCGGGGCACGAACCCGTGTCCCCTGCATCGGCAGGCAAACTCTCAACCACGGCACCACCAGGGAAGCCCCCCAAGCTTCTTTTAAGCTAAAAGGGGAGGCAGTAAAGTCAAACATTTCCTGGTTCCGCACGACTCCAGAGAAGATGTGTGAATTTCTTTTTTCCTGCAGCCATTCACAGGTGGGCCTGGTCAGGATGTTTCCTGTGAGCTAAACAAAGTATTTTAGCTTCATGCTCATTATCTGGGAGGCAGGTGTCCCAGAGATGGGCCACTATGTATAATTTAAGCTTATAGGCAACATCCCTTTAGTGATGAACTTGTAGTAGAACATAAAGGTTCTTCCCTATTACATGACCTTGAAAAAGTTATTTAACCTCTTTGAACCTCAGTTTCCTTATCTTTGAAATTGGATAGATAATAAGAGTATCTACTTCAGAAGGCTGCTATAAGGGTTATAAAAGCCAAGATTTGTGAAGAGCTCAGACTGTCTGCTGTCTATGGTAAATTCTGCACGAACATCTACCCACACATACATATAAATTCACAAAGACCTGATACTTTTCTAGCTATGTCATTGGCCAACGTTCGTGACCACGGACAATCCCGTAACTTCTTTAGCTACTTTTTAGTCCTTATTTATACAGTAAAGGGGTTGGACTGAGCTCCATTCTAGCTGTGCAAGTCTGTGATTCTATCTCGGTGTTTGGAACCAGTAGTAGAGACATGAAGACCATCATGGAGATAATGATTGGAGTTCACACTAAATCATCTACAGAAGTGGGTGGAGATGACTCAACTGCCTTTCCACTCACCCGGTATTTGAAGGCACAGGATCGTCTGCAGGTGATCCCAGATTCAGGAGCTTATCTACCTAGACATCTGCCAGATAAAAGGAACAGACAATGGCATCAACCGTAAGATACTTTTACACTAAAAGTGAAAACTTGATGATACAGACTTTGTAAAGCCTGGTTATAGCTAAGATGAGGAAACAGATGTACCTTAGTCAGAAGAAGAAAACAGCCAAAGCCTTAAAACAGCACTGACACTTAGCCACTGTCCAGGCTGAGTCAGGTGCGCCACCAATACGGACTGTCCAGCAGACTTCCACTGATGCCCTCAGGTGATACTCTAGATGATGTCCTCGGGTGATGCCCTCAAGGAAAAAACTGTAAAATGAAGGAACTGAGCAGGGTTTGTTTTCTTTTTTATTAAGGTAAATTCCACGATATTTGGAGAATTCTCATCTTGTGAAACTGAACAAAGTTTAAATTCTCAAGTTGGGTGGAAAAAGAGATACATCCAGAGACCACACCATTTCACTGCAAAAAAGAAAAATGTACCTTATAATGTACACCTTAAATGGAGTCAGAGTATCTTTAGGATTCTTAAAATATTTTTCAATTTTTATTCTCCCTTTATTCTTTGGTTGAAATCAGAGGTATGTTTTGAGTATGACCTTAGCTCTTGCTGGTGAATTTGAGCTCCTTGCAAAGAAAAGAACATTGCTGAAAGAGCCATAAATAAACAGGAAGTCAGTGTAGATTTGCAAATGTTTCCTCCAAGCTCTAAGGGTCCCTGCAGTATTGGAAAATGGAACAAAAGGAACAGTTAAAAGACAGAAAGAACATCAACAAAAAATGAGAACTTCAAGGGAAAATACACAGAGAAGCAGAAATATTTAGTTAAATTAACATCGACTGAAAGGGTCAAGATGTTGTAAGAACCACATAAAGTAAAGAGATCTTTGAGAGAGAAAAAGCCATGCCAATAAATAAAAAGGAGAGTTGTGATAAGACTTTCAATGGATAAAGCTGTGAATTTACTGTTTTCTAAACAGGCTGATTTTCAAACCCAGGCAAGGTCTTTACTATTAGAAAGTCCTGAAGACTTTTTAAAAAGCCTGGGGTATTGTATTCACTTTGAGGCATTTTACTGCCAGGTTGAAGGCAAACAGAGATGAGAATTCAGAGGAAAGAAAAAATACAACAAAAGTATTTCCGCATCTATGGAGGATTGGCCTTTCAAGAGAAAGTACTAATACATAGAAGAAATAATAGCTTGGTTTGCAAAGTCTAAAGAGAGGGAGGTGATATGCTATACGTGCCTAAAATTTAACAGAGGAAAATCACAAGGCAACAGGCAACGCCTCGTTCAAATCCCATAAACGTATTTAGTTATCAGTACGATTCTTCCATTCACGTTAGGGTCTGGACATCTATGCGTGAGTATTTGTGTATACGGAACATTTGTACACATGCACACACACACAGCCATGTAGCCAATGAGTATCCAATCTTCTTTTCCTTTTGACCTCTGAGACTACTGAACATGTCGCTGCTCGTATGTCCTCTAAAGAGATTTAAGGGACCTACGTCATTGGCTGAGCTGAAGTTTGCCCATCTCAGCTCTGGCTAAAGTGAGCTGCTATTAGTTTCCATAAGAGTATACAGTACAATCCTTTTAAAGGTGTAGCTTTGTTCACAGTGAGTTATTGGAGGGGGATTGCTAGTCATTACGATATTAAGGTAATTAAGTATATGCTATCGCTCTTTCCCTCACTGTACAACAGAGGAGAATCTCAGTAGAAGACACTGACCTCCACTGAAATAAATCATTGAACACATACGAGCAGGTAAGAGGCTCAAAATATATAGATTTAATGTTGTTGCAGCTAACCTATGGCTGTATTCTATTTTCTGTTTATTACCCATTCTCTTCCCTGCCCTATTTCAAGTCTTTTACACGGTAGGTGCACTAAACAAAAAATTATTCAATAGACAAACGCCAATGGTTTTACAGATAGAAAGGTCCAGGGAGGGTAGGCTGCTGACTTGTGAAATGCTGGGATGTTTTTAGCCTCATTTGTAATCCTTTCTGCTGCGTAAGCCGTAGATTACCTTGCTCTACGGTTGGGTAGCTATAGATGTTCCATCGATGGGAGCAACCGGGCGAGGCTCAGCAAATGTTTTGTGCCGCCAGCTGGGCTTCAAAACGTGTCAGTCCCCGTGTCTGTTGCCGACTGGTATTTTTCAAGAAAATATAAAAATTGTCATCTCCTCTGTCAGCATGAGATCACTGAATCGTTAAGATTCACCAGCACAGAGATGTTTTCCTTTGCTGTGAATTTCACCATTTTATGGGGAGCGGTTTTCAAAACCCTGAGTTTAATGCGATGAAAATGACATTTATAGCACGACAGGTATTCATAGAAGCTATCACAACTAAACAAAGGTGAACCGAGCAGTTCCAGCCGGATGACTGAATTTAACTAGAAACAAGATGAGGGAAGGCGGCAACACCTCCCAGTGACCAGCAGGGGTCACTCGACAACCAGAAAACGAATAGAAGGCGCGTGCGTTCCGGCGGCTGAAACGCCGGGGCCGAACAGGCTCACATGCGAGGTAGCAGGATGTCCTCCGGGGACACACAGAACCCACTCAAAACCCTCACTCAAAACCGAAAAACAGAAATGCACTTCTCAGAAAGGACGTTTTCCTCTGGATAAAAGGGGAAAACCTTGGGCCCAACTCTAGGGCCCTGCATGGAGTCGGTGGAACTGGGGTCCACGAGGATGGAAGAGACAGAAGGGGAGAAACTCTCTGCTGCGTCGGATGCCATCGATCCTACTTCAGAGGCGCAAACCAGAGAGCCCAGCCTCCAGCTAGGCTGCCTTTGCCACGTTCAAGTGCAGAACATTAAAAACGATTCCTGACCCCTTGTGTTTCAAAGGTTTTTGTAAAATGCATTTTTAAAACATTAAAAAAAAAGTTCAGATGGCCGGGTTTTTAAACAATGATTCTTCTCTTCTTGCCGCTGCTCTGTAGTCTCTTGCTCTTCCACGTCTGCCGTAAACACAGGTGTGTCCTCATTGATGCTTTGTCCTTGGATTCCTGAATCATTCTCTGAGGGACCTTCAAGGGGATGGATTAGTCGTAAAGGCAGCAGGGAACTTTCCTGAGCATGTGCTCTATTTGCCCCTGCCCTGAGCGCTCACTGACTCTGTGAATGTCTGATAACCCACAAAGGGGCCCTCTGATGTGGACAGCACTTTAAGGATGAGGGTAGAACTGAGCTTCACAGAGCCCAGGTTTGGTAGATGTATGCTCCCAGCACCATGCTGTTTGACTATAAATCTCAGGCCAGAGGACATAAAGGAACTTAAAATTCAACCGTTCCTGTCACCTGTCTGATGCTCAGATTCCTTCGACGGCACCTCTGTCAGCTGGTGGCCTTGCCGGGGCTGCACGTTACCGTGATGGGGACCCCTGGGTCTTTCTACGTCTCCACCTGTAAGAGATGCCTTACGGTTGGCTGGAAAAAACCCTCTGTGCCTAGAGGGTCAATAAAGGAAGACTGATTTCTCTTCCCCTGACGGTACTTCCCGCATTTGAAGGGCGTTATTCTGAATTTCCCATGTGTTAGTGTTCTCCAGAGAAACAGACCCGTAGGAGATTTCCTGTAAGAATTGGCTCACGTGATTACGGAGGCTGAGAAGGTCCACGATCTGCCGTCTGCCAGCTTAGAACCAGGAAAACTGGTGGCGTGGTTCAGTCTGAGCTGAAGGCCCGAGACCCTGGGAAGCTGGTGGTGGTGTGAGTTCCAGTCCAAGCCCAAAAGCTCAAGAATCAGGGGCGGACGGTATAGGTCTTGGAGTCTGAAGGCCGATATCTGAGGGCAGGGAAGATGGATGGCTCGGAGAGAGCGAATCAGCCCTTCCTGCCCCTTTGTCTTCCATCCAGGCCCTCAGTAGATTAGATGTCATCCACCCACAACACCTAATGGTGAGGATGATACTCCTTCCTCAGTCTACTGATTCTAAAGCCAGGTCTGGCCTCTGTACCCCGACACATTGAATCTCGGAGACAGAGTTTTGGGTGAAGTAGAAAAGAATTGCTTTATTGCTTTGCCAGGCAAAGGGGGACACAGTGGGCTAATGCCCTCAAAACATTAATGTTAACATTAAACATTAAAACATTGTTGACACACCCAGAAACAATGTTTTACCAACTATCTGGGTATCTCTTAGCCCAGTCAATTTGACACATAAAATTAACCGCCACACTCTGAGTCTCTTCTGTTAAATGCATTGCGATCTCTCAGAGGTCTTTTGATTTTTTAAGCGTGGTATCATTTTCAATCCTTCCTCCATCTGAATGACCCTCATGGTCACCACCATACATGAGGTCCCCAGAGTGGATCTGAGGTCAACATACAGCAGGTCTGTCATCTCTGTTTTCAAGATACTATGTTTCTATTGATGCCTGTTTTCTAAGAAACCCTTGGATTGCTTTTTTTTTTTTCCCTCCTGCTTCTTGTGTATTTTCTCTTTACTTCCCAGAAATGATGCTTTATTTCTGGGTCCTTATAACCAGATAAAAAAAACACACAACAATATGATGAAAAATAACTTAGTGATGGCACGTAACGAAAGGCAAAAATGTTTTAGTTTTCCAGCCGTGCCGCGCGACCTGTGAGATCGTAGTTCCCCCACCAGGGATGGTGCTCGTGCCTGCTGCAGTTGAAGCACAGAGTCTTGACCACTGGACCACCAGGGAAGTCCCAAGGCAAAAATGTTTTAGTAAACATTAGGCTCAGTGGTATTCAATGGTAGGATTCCACCTCTGAAACATTCCTTGACTTTTCTTATAACATCTGTGCTAACGGTGCTTTACAAATTATGGTGCACACACTAGGCTTGGTTGAAGTAATAAAGTTTAGGAAATTAACACAAAATTCCTGGCCAGTTACCTCTATGCTTTTATAAAAACTCATATTTAAATAACTTTAGATGTATAGATTATAAAAATAACATGCTAAAGCCTTTGCCTTCTCAGGAACAATTTACAAGTATGATTTAGAAAAACTATTCAGCTATTCCAAGAGAGTGTTTTGAACAAGTTGGAAAACAGAATTAAACACCATGTCATGCAAAGTGGTGACTGAGTAAATGTTTCTTTTTTCTTCCTAAGGGACTCTAGAGCACTACGAATATATGCAAACAATCTGAACTAAGGCCGCCTAAGATGCCAATTCAAAGTTATTAGAGTCATTTTATAGGCATTAAAAAAACACCTGGCGTTATACTTTCATTCTCAAATTTCATAAGTGCACAAAATCTATTTGCACATGGTTGCACCCAGACGACGTTAATCTTTAATGTGGTTAAACTCCATTTGAACGTATGCCAAGATAGAAGCCATGATTAGCTTATCTTGAAAATGACCACTTCATTCTTCCCCATTATCAGATAACCTCTGGTGGCGAGAGAACTGTCGTAAAGTCTTCCTGTCTGAACTCTTGAATGGTCATAACACTGAAGCTCTGAGCCTGACCTTTAGACCTCATGCTGACCCATTGCGAATCAGACCTTCTTCAGGACTTGAATTGAAAGCTATTGAGCCAATGCTTGGAGGAGTCATTATAGAGCTTAACGCACAGAGCAAAAGAAGGTGGAGAATACAATTTAAGAAAATTTTCCTGCTGGTTAAGAAAAGGACCTTCCTGACATGAGAAGATCAAAAGAGAAGGATAGAAGGGATAGAAGCAGGTGAGGCCTGAATTTCTCAGAAGGAATCCAGTGCCGTAGCTCTTTGGGTCTCAAACAAGACTGTCTATGTGATGGTCAAAACCTAAGATAAGTTGAGGGACATCCAAACAAAATAGAGACCTGTGTCCACATGAAATCCAGAGAAGAGAGAGCCTTACCAGGTGCCTCATACCACACGGGCAGCTTTAGAAGAAGAAGAAAAAAAAGATGTGTGTTCTGAAGTAGTGAAGGTCTCACAAAATTGCACAGTTCCTGAGGTGGTGCAGAGGGGTCATTTGTGCTGTTGGCAGGTCTGGGGAGGGGGGTAGGGGTGTGGGGTAGAGAGGGAACAGGTCTGAGGTCCAGGCCAATGGGACATTATCAGACACGGCCTAATCAGAGACCAGGAGAGAACTTGGAGTAGCTCAGAAGTTACAAATGCAGATACTAACAGGGGCTGGTGTGTAGCTAGGATGAGCCAGTTGGCTTGCCCCGTCTTCCTCCTTCTGCAGCCCTGAGTCCAGTCTGGGAAGGAGGATAGGTGAACCTCCTGGAGGGTGAGACAGCGTATGGAGCAGAGGCAGCCTCCAGCTGAGGCCCTGAGACCAAACTGCCTGTCTACACAAGGCGTGAGAGTGAGGCCATCTTGGACCATCCAGCCTCAGCAGAGCCATCAGCTGACCACAGAGATTAGCCCCGCTGGCCCAGACTAGAGGAACTGCCCAGCTAACTCAGAGGATGGTGAGTAATAACAAATGACAACACATATATTTAAGTACTGAGAAGCTCCCTTCACTGTCTCATAGACCAGAGCGAGAGTCACCTGTGTTTCAAGTTGTGTTCATTCGCCTGTTAAGACAAGGGCTGGAGATACGCTGGCCGTGTGTCCCCTTTATCTTCCTGGTCTTGACTATGCCAATTTAATCAAAATCCTCGATCTACAATATTGCCTTTTACTTAAGGAAAGGGATGTTGGTGTGGTTTACATGCGGCCTCGAATAAAGAATACTTGGCACTTCTCACATTTTATAGACGATCTGTAAGATCAGAGGCTTTTAAAATTCACTATGACAGGGTATGTGAGTGAAATTTGTTAAAAAAAAAATAAAACAGCAAATAAATAACGTGAGAAGTAACAAAAGCTTGGTAATTTAATGAAGACCCTTTATTATTATGCTCATGTTTCATAACTGGAAAAAATCTATTTGCACATTGTTTTAATATAACATTACCCTGATGATATGGATTTAATTTAATTAATTTATATGATTTTTTATTGAAGTACAGTTGATTTACAATGTTGTGTTAGGTTCAGGTGTACAGAAAAGTGATTCAGTTATACATATGATGATATTAATTTTAACATAGCTAAACTCTATTTAAATTTGGGTCAAGATAAAAGCAACAATTTAGTCTTAGAAATGACCACTTTCAGCCTTCACCACATTGGACAGGTTCAAACCTTACAAAAATGAAGTGAATCATATATATTGATGAAGTATTTATTTGCTGAAATTTGAAGGACACTCAGAGCAACCTGATAGTTCAAACTTACGTTTACCTCTGGTCTGCTCTGGAGTCTAGAATTCCACAGTTTTAAGGATTACTTCCTGAAGGTGAAAACATCTCAGATTTTCCCCACAGTTAAAGAGCTAGAGAGAAGCCTCAGAGATTGTCCAATCTAGAGGGTGCCGACCGGTCATTCCCAGGCCACTTTTGGCCGACAGCTGTGTTTTTTTTGGCTTCGACGGAGCTGGCTCACAAATTTTAGAAGTTTGAATTAGTTACACTGCCAAATTTTTGGAAATTGGATAATTACATAGAAAATCTGCATATCCAGATTCTCTTGACAAAATGTGGAGGTGTGTCCACACTGAGCCTGCAGGACAGCTGTCTACTGAAGCTGAATACTGGTGGGAACTGGCGAGGTCCCTAAGGAGACCGCCTCTGCCCGCTACCTGACACGCGGTTTGCACAGCTCATCCACAGGACACACTCAGCCTCCATAGGCATGTGAATGCATAACCTCTGATCTACTTCCATGACTTAACTTTTTAGATGAGCAAACGTAGGTTCAGATAAAAGTGACATCGTCGTCAGCCAGCGATGGACTTAAAACTATGGTATAAGGATAAAGTGCTATCACCTGTGGGGCTGACGTTAGCTCTCCTTCCCACCCAGCAGCTGGCTGAGGGGAGAGTTGCCTTTGAACAGATGTGAGCAGCACGGAAGAGTCAGGGATTGTCCAAGACAGCAAGGCTGGAGGGCAGCTCGGGGACCCCAGCGTCAGTGTCAGACCCTCCGTGGTTAAGGGTGGGGGGCCCCAGAAGGCAAAGCGAGAGCTAGACGATGTGGAGGGTGAGGGAAGCAAATACCTCTTGCTTCCTTAGCTTTGTCCCCACCCGCCATGTTGGGCTTACTATCTTCCCTGGGAAAACATTGTGCTACTGACGATGTCGACAGACTAGAATTCATGAAAGTCTCTCAGAAACACAAGAGAGACTGTGAGATTCCAGCTAATCTCACTGATGGCCAAGTTTTTTTTTTTTAAATTTTATTGGCATATAGTTGATTTACAATGTTGTGTTAATCTCTGCTGTACAGCAAAGTGATTCAGTTATACATATATATATTCTTTTTCATGACGGTTTATCACAGGATATTGAATATAGTTCCCTGTGCTCTACAGTAGGACTTGGTTGTTTATGCATTCTGTATATACTAGTTTGCACCTGCTAACCCCAAACTCCCAGTCCCCCACCCCCTCCCCCTTGGCAACCACAAGTCTGTTCTCTATGTCTGTGAGTCTCTTTCTGTTTCGCAGGTGAGTTCATTTGTGTCATATTTTAGATTCCACATATAAGTGATATCATATGGTATTTGTCTTTCTCTTTCTGACTTACTTCATTTAGTATGATCATCTCTAGGTCCAACTGATGACCAAGTCTTGATAAAAAAAATATGCTTCCTGAAAGTTCTTTAAAAAGATGTTTAAAGTTCTAAATACTTCCTAGAAATCTGTCTTCCCCAATATCCAGTCATTAGCCAAGTTCCATCTCACAAGCGTCTCTTGAATGTCAGCTTTCTCCAGTTTTTTTTTTTTTTTTTTTTTTGCGGTACACGGGCCTCTCACTGTTGTGGCCTCTCCTGTTGCGGAGCACAGGCTCCAGACGCGCAGCCTCAGCGGCCATGGCTCACGGGCCCAGCCGCTCCACGGCATGTGGGATCTTCCTGGACCGGGGCACGAACCTGCGTCCCCTTCATTGGCAGGCGGACTCTCAACCACTGCGCCACCAGGGAACCCCACAGTCACTTTTAATTCCTGGAATGAGCCTTGATCTCTACAACCTCCTGAATTTTGCACATACAGTGTTTTCCCTGCCTGGAATACCTATTTCCCAACTGTTATGGACTGAATGTTTGCATCCCCCCAAATTAACATGTTGAAACCCTAAGCCCTGATGTGATGGTATTTGGAGGTGGAGGTTTGGGGAGGTCATTGGGATTAGATTAGGTCATGAGCGTAGGGTCCTCGTGAAGGAATTCATGCACTTACAAAAAGAGGACAAGACATGAGCTCTCCTCCCTCTGTGCACCCAGCAAGGAAGGCCAAGGGGGGCTGTGAGCAGGAAGGGGGTCCCTCAGTGGACCAGGCTGGCTTGCTGACCTTGGACTTGCAGCCTCCAGAGCTGTGGGACATGTTTCTTCTTTAAGTCATCTAGTCTATGGTCCTCTGTTATATCCTGAACAGACACAGACACAAGCCTATCTGCTACAATTCTCTCCATCCGTCAAGTTTTATCTGATAGGTTGTTCCCCTGAGATGTTTTTATGACTTCCCGAGACTGGGTTGGTTACTCTTCCTAAGAGTTTCCATAGCACCTTGTATTCACTTTCGCACGGTTACTTCGCTATATCGTAAAATCTTACTTACTGTTCTGTATCTTCTACTCGGCCATAAGCTCTGTCAGGGTGGGGGTTGTGTCTGGCTGGTTCACAGTTTCTCCTTAGCTTTTAGCAGGTGGTAACAAATATGGAAAAATTAATAAGTATTGGCTGGATAAATGAATAAATGAGGCAGCAGGAAGAAGCAAAGATATTTAAGAAATCAGTCAAGCAAAACAAAAACAATGAAACCCTTTTACTTCTGATAGTCTTTATCTTACATCTTTATTTTTTAATTGAATTTGACTTATTTTAATTGGAGTAAAGTTGCTTTACACGCTGTGTCAGTTTCTGCCGTACAGCAAAGTGGATCGGCTATACGTATACATATAGCCCCTCTCTTTTGGATTTCCTTCCCATTTAGGTCACCACAGAGCACTGAGTAGAGCTCCCCGTGCAGAACTAGCAGGTCCTCACCAGTTACTACTTCATACCCAGCGGCGTATATATGTCAATCCCACTCTCCCAGTTCATCCTACCCCCCTCCCCCCTTGGTATACATACGTTTGCTACTTACATCTTGGAAGACAACTTTTACTTGGCCGTGGTCAGGTGTAGTAATTGGCTGGTGAATCTGTTACGAATTTCCCGTCTTTATTTTCTGCAACTTTTAAAATCCCACACTTTAAAAGCTCAGTAATAGAAGGACTTCATAGATTGTGTCTTCCAACAATTATATTTCTATATACATTAAGCACTTACCCTTTGCAAGCTTAGGGAGTCTTAGGGCCTTGCAAGTGATTATGTTAACCTAAACTCTCATCACGTCCCTTGGCATAAAAAGTCCAGCAGTCAGGAAGAGGCCAAAGGCCCTCGCAAGTGTTTCAGTACAATTTGGATGGATGCAGGTGAAATTGCACTCACATTTTATGTGTTGGATGCCATCCCAATTATGAGCTTAGTCACATCCGAGAGTTCAGAGGGTTCAGAGCAGGGGTGGGGGGGTAGAATACATGGTTCCTAGTAATTATTCTGGGACAGAACGGGCTTTGCTCTGACCAACATGGAGGTGAACTCTGACTGTCTGATCCTAGGTGGATTAAAAAAACGTCTCCAATCTTCCCCAAACATTATCTTGACGAAGTTTTACGCTTGGGCAGCTGGTTGTGGGGAGGGGGAAAGGGAGAGGTGGCATTGCGGGAACGGCTGTTCAGATGCTGCAATTATTTCGGGACTGGAAACAGAATTGAAATGACCCAGATGGTTGGCCTAATGAAGCTGAACCAAAATTTATGCCAAGAGGAGCCAGAGCCACGTTTCGTCTGTGTGTGTGTGTGTGTGTGTGTGTGTGACAGAGAGAGGAACCAGCGTGCATGCATGGTTGGTTTTTGGTTGAAAAGATCTTGCGGTTGTAGGAATGAAAGTGCAGCATGCTGAGACGGATGTGCTTATGCAGAGAAAAGAAATCACAACAAAACACAGAGCCTTTTTCTGCCCTGGTCTGGCCTTGGGCAGGCCTGTTCCCTCTCAGTTGCACCCGTACGGAAAATCCACTTTCCTTTGGCTTTTAAAATAGACCATATTTCCTGGGAGAGTATGGTGCCCTTTGGAGAAGGTGCTTAAAGTGATTAAGCAGAGCGGGGGACGTCCACGCTGCCGACTTGTGCCAGGGCATTCGTCCAAAACAGCATCGCTGGTGGAAAACACATTGTGTTACATGCTGGAGCGACGGGCCCCGGTCACCTTGTCTCTGGACTCTGACTTACTGACACCAACCCCCCACATACCACTTCCGAGCTTGAGTCAAGAGTGAAGACAGGGCTTCCCTGGTGGGGCAGTGGTTGAGAGTCCGCCTGCCGATGCAGGGGACACAGGTTCGTGCCCCGGTCCAGGAAGATCCCACATGCCGCGGAGCGGCTGGG